TTTGAATTCATCATATTTGATATTTTTAATTTCTTTTAAATAAAACACATTAAATAACACATTTTCTTTGTAAAGAAGTTTTTGATGAGACATGGTTTTTAATTATCATGTTTTGCAAATATGCTATGACTTGGCTATGTTTTGATATTAATTTAACATTTTAACAGGTAAAGAATAATTTAAAATGAAAATTGTGTATAAATTTACCTAATGAATATTTTATTTCATAATTATTACTACTAATAATAAANAATGAATATTTTATTTCATAATTATTACTACTAATAATAAATATTACTTAAAAAAAAAATTAGTGGAAAAATTAAACTTATCATGTATAGAAAGCTGAAGGTCCTTGGACAGCTCAAAAATGTAGGAAATTACACTTTTTGTTATATATAAAATATTTTTCATGGTGTGGAGAATAATAAATTTAGCCTTTTGAAAATTTTATTCTAGTTACAATTTAGTTTAAATTTCCTTATGAATTATTGAAAAATTAAATAATTAAAACCATGACTAGACTTTTATATTAAATACTATACAGATTATAAAAAAATGTGGAACGGCAGTAAAGTCAATTTCTAATAAATATATGGGAGTAAGAGTAAAACTGGTGCAAGTCAATATTAAAGATTTTTCAGTAGTCTATTGAAATATTAGTTAATATGGTATTTAGTATATAAATATCAAACTCTTGTTATCCAAAAATTTAATTTCATAATGTTGATCATATGAGAGAGCTGGATCGAAATATACCTAATATCAATAGTACTCTTCACATATTAAAATGAAAAGTATTTTCTCAAATTATTATCAGTTTCACATGATATCGAACAACTTTAATGTTGGGTTTTACGTGAGTTCAGACTACTTATTTTCAAGTATGGCCAATATAAATGGAACGACTAGAATTTATATTTAAATATTAACATAAACAGAATAGAATTTAATTTTCAGAAAAGAAAGTTTAATTAATTAAAAATCAATTAAAAGGAAAATATCGATGATTTCAAACAAAGTTAAAAATTATTTAAATGTAATTAAAATTGACAGGATAAATACTTACGTGCTTCGACAGGATTACAAGACGTAGAAATGAATAAACAAATGTGTTTTTTAATTACAACATTCAATAAATATGGCGGAGTAGAAATTAAACAGTGTTACAAATGTACAATAATATAATGTAGCCTCCAAAAAAAGATGACATCATGTTACGCCAATTTTTGAGTCTCTTTTACGAAAATTTATTTTTAAAACGTTGAATTTAATAACAGAACTTTTTTTTAGGTTCAATATAAATATTTTAAATTACCATCATTAAATTGTAAATTTTATGAAGTTTTAAGAAATGGTATTGTTTAGATTGATATGTGATTAGAAACATGTATAATTACTATTATTAGTATATTTATGAGAAAGGTTCACGATTTCGTTAAAGTTACTGTTTTTTTTTGCAGTTATATCATCATAAATAATTTTAATAGAAAGCTTAGCAGTCAATTCTAGTAACTTCTAGCGTGTAAAAATATGGTGTGATTGAAATTTTCAGATCTTAATTAATTTTTTTAATTATTAGAAAATTATAAAAAAAAGGTTAAAATGAATTTCAACAACATATAATAGGACAAAATAAAAAAAAATTCTTCAATATTAATACAATCTTATTATGTTCATTAAAAAAATATATAGATACACAATAATGCACCGAAGTCCTGGGAAGGTTAATGATACATTAACAGAAAAGCCCTTTTATAGTTTTAAACGACAAACGATCTTTTTTACAATCTTTTTTTTGTACAATTTTGTGTTTTTAGCTTCTATGTGAATTTGAGAAATTTTCGTTTTACTATGATGTGCGTTTTTTTCAGATCTCACTGGACTATTAGCGCAAAAAATTTGAAAAAATCATCTCAATTTTAAAAATTAAAAAAAAAATCTCAATATATATTATTTTTCTATGGAAAACATCGCTACCATAAAAAATGATGAGCAAAAAAAATAAACCATAAAATCTCTATCACTATTCATAACTAGGCTAGTAAAATTCGAGATGGTTTTTTTAAGATAGTGGACTCACGGGTATAAGCCCTTAATCCGGTTTGAATGAAATCCACTCATGTAAAAATAAATCGTTCGTTAAAGTAAAGTAAATTTATTAGTACATTTGATTTTTAAATTTTCCTGTCGAGTCTGCGCTCATACATTCGCATATGCTAAATAAAACACTTGACACGGTACCACATATTAGCATTACGCTTATTATATTTATATCTTGTTTCTCTCATCAGTCGCTTTATTACAACGCGATTCAGGCCCGATTACAATATCCCCGCTTTTTAACCAAGTTGCAAAGTCCATCTGCTGAACCACGAACGACCACCGAGCGGCGGCGGCGAACGCTCTCTCCAATTTTTGACGCCTTACAAGTTACATCAATTTTTTACATTGTTTAATACAAATATACATTTTATAATACAAAAATATACATTTTTAATACATTTATTATAAACCAGTAAGTACTTAATCATTTAAAAATTTATTAGTAATGCAGAAGACTTAATGAATTAAATAATAATTAGTGGACCTAATAAAAAAGCTAAATATAATCCTATAAACAATAAAGAATGCTATTTTTGTGTTAAAATTGTCGATTTTGTATTTTATTTTATTTTAAAATACCTAACAAAAGTTTTTCTTATGGTTTGATATGATAATAGGTTTCAACTACAAAATTAAATAATTTTACTTTGTAGTTTATTAATCTTTTAACTTTATTTGTGAGTTACTACTAGTCTATAATATTACAAATTTTTTGGTAACATGTTGCTATATAAATCATTTTTAAAAAAATTATTTTTAGTTTCACGTGAATTTAGCAATGGATTTTTACAATTATAACAAATTTTATAATACGCTCAATTGAGTTCATCTTTTTAACAACTTTCTTTTATTGATTTTTTTAGTTTAAGTAAATTATTAAGATTAATTCAGTTATGCATATTTCAACAGTGGATTCTTTTTAAGCACCAAAAGTTACTAGAAAATGATTACTATTATTTCTATTTAAGTGATCTATTACGATAAATATGCAAAAAAATATTGAGCTTTTCTGATAAATTTACTATAAATAGTAATTATAAAAATTTCTGAGTACATATAAATCTTAACAATATTATTTTAATTCTCATAAACTTTTCTATTAAATAAATTTCAAAATTTAAGTTGAGCTAAAAGTTATGGTAACTTTTAAAGACCAACAAAATAGGTTAAAAATGATATTATGTCTTAATTATTTTTAATATATTAAATATCAAAAACATATTAATTATTTAAAATCAATTTTTTTTGGTTTTTTATCGTAATAAATCATTTAAAAAGAAATATTAATCATTTCTATGTAATCTTGGTGTTTAAATAGATGATACAATTGAAACATTCAGAACTATTTTCCTGTAAGTTATATCCTAAAGTTGTAACCAATTAGTAATAATATCAAAAATTATTGGCGTTAGAAAAATTTAATTGCTAATTTGAAATTACCACGAAACATTAAATAATAAAATTATATTTTTCACTCTGATGAAAATTTTTTGCAAGCCATTTATTTATAAGTAACAACAAGTTATTATCTAAAAAGTTTTGTGTCAAACCCTTCAATTTTTATACACGTTTACATAAAAGTTATAACTACTTTATAATTTTTTATTAATTCTCCGAAAAAATTACAATACTAAATTATTAAACATCAATCCCATATTATAATTTAATTGCTATGATAAATATGTATTCATGTTTTAAATCAAAAAACTACTAATCAGGAATAATAAAGGAAATACAAAATCGCATTGTTTTTGGTTTAATCCACCAACTTCCTAAAATTAAACACTATCTAAAGATTTGCATCGATGCGTTTTTTAAGATAATGATTTTAATCACTGTCAGATGTCATTATACTTAATCCCACTATGTTATGTCACCACTGTGTCGCGATCCCCCTGTGCTGGGTTTTTTTAAATTTTAATTCATCTATAGAATTTTAATACATGATTAGACACCTTTTTATTATTTATGGATATAATCCACTGATTAATTAAATTTTGCTAACTAATAAATTTTATGTTAAACGATAATGTTTTAGCTATTCTATTAGTAATATATCGCAATAATTTTTTTATCGATTTAAAAATAACATCATTATACTCTTTTTTTTCTGGGGAAATAAAAGTCATTTATCTTAGTTAATAATCGCAGATCTAAAATTACGCAGCGTACTTTAATCAAACGATTTCAAGATAAGCTGTGGAACGGCTAAAAATTATTACTTTTATTACCTGAACTACAACCAGTTGGTGGACATGCAATTCATGTAGTTGTTATCTTCAGTGATTGTATAGCAGTGTTAAACATTAGCAGTATTTTAAACAGAATATCGTATTGATTTTACAGTATAGATATTAGAATGCCCGTTGTATATGTATAAAAAAAAAATTTTGTTCGAAACTTGAGGAGTGCAGCAAGGAAATTTGTTCTTATACGTCTAAAGATAATTTATTTAAAAAATTAAAATTTATACAACTATGTTAACAAGGCGCGCAAAAAGCTCAAAGTTTAATAAAAATTTATTAAAATTGTAGTTTTTTGTATTTTTAGGCTCCAGTTTTCATTTTTCTGAAATTATTGTAATAACTTAATATTATAGAATCTATAATATTTGGTTACAATATCTATAATATAGATATTGTAACCAAATATTGTAGATATTATATTGATTTTCTTAGGAAAGATATCTTTACAATTTTTCATCAAGTCAATTCTTTGTTGTTAAGATACAGAAAACTCTGCAAAACTCGTTTTTTAACTTCTCACGCCCTTGCAATTAACAATTTTTGTTTTGGAGGGNTGCAAAACACGTTTTTTAATTTCTCACGCCCTTGCAATTAACAACTTTTGTTTTGGAGGGCAGTGTTATTTTAAACATTTAAATGTATATATTTGTAAATATTATTTTAGGTTATTTAAATGGAAAAAATATTAAATTTAGAAAATATGGACATCAGCCTCGAGGCAACCTGCTCAAAAAATTTGGAACAAATTGATTTAGAAAAAAATAAAAATAATGAAAAAAATATAAATAATGAAAAAATTATTCAAGAAAAAAACAATCAAGAAAAAATTGAGACAAAATTAATTAAAAAAAAAAATAATAAAATATACAATCCATACAATAAAAGTAATACACCTAAAATAATAGGAAATGGAGTAAGTCTATTTAATTACTATATGTATGTATTAGACTGACCAAAAAAAGAAGTAGATAAAATTAAATGTTTTATGTATATATTTGTTGTAAAAAGTGTTAACTTTTAGAATTTACAAAAATAATTAAAAAAATATATTCTTTGAAAAATTAACGATTTTATACCAAAATCCTATTTTCCCATGTTATCAAACTGTGGAAATTGAAATGCGCCTCTCAATGACTTTTTAAGGTTGATCAAAAAACCTCAAATTTGGACGGCTACCTTTTTTTGATGTGCTATTGATTTTTGGAAAATCAAAAAAAAATTTTTTTTTTTGGTTAGTTTATTATGTATGGGTTGGAAAAATAATTTTTGAAAGCTTGTTTAGTTTCAAACTCTCAAAAATTAATGTAAAAATATTATTACTTTTAATTTCTAAATTGTATGGGGAGTGAAATTTAAATTAAAAGAAATAAGAAATAGTCTCACTAATCGTTATATCTGTTAACAGAATATAATACATATATACACACACACGAAATCGGCTAATTTTGGAATAGTTAACCCCCCAAAATGTAAGTCTAACCAAATATATCATTAAGTTTTATTATTAATATATGTCTCTTATGACAGTAAAATGCTACCGGTGTGGATTGATGGGCCATATTGCTCGCGATTGTAAAAAACCAAAACGTAAGTACCATAAATCTAAGTTACTATTTGAATTTACAGTCTTTGATGGTACTCAAAAAGAAATATTCCAAATAGTACATTTTAAATAATTATTTAAATAAAATCATTTATGTAATTAGTAATCAATTTTGGAATATATATTTGATATATATGTGATCTTTCGACGAATCAAATGAAGTTTAAAAACTTGAGAGACACAAATAAATTGTAATAAAAAGAACAGCGAGAGTAGGATAGGAAGAAAGTGGAAGTGGTTTAGGTTATATAATTTGTGTTGGATATTTTCGTGATTTTTTTTTGTCAGATCTCAAGACTATTTTAAAAAAAATCCCATTTTATTAAAATGCGGATACTTTAATCTTTTACCAGCACAGTAAAAATCAAGATAGGACCTCAAAATGTTTTATTTATCTCAAAGACAAAATAAAAATTCAAGAGCAAAGTATTTTAAAAATTAACTTAATTAACTTAAAACACCCAAGTGAANTATTTTAAAAATTAACTTAATTAACTTAAAACACCCAAGTGAAACTAATATTGTACCATTTTTTTCAAAAAATACAATAATTGTTGGAATATATAAAATAAAAGTTATAATTTATAATAGAATTATATTTAAGTGTTTTAACTAAAATAGTAATTTTATTTTGTTGTAGGATGATACACATGTTTAAGAGAGGGACATTGGGTGGCACATGTCAATATTAAATTTAATTACATTTTAACATATTTTTTATTTTATAATAACATTATTTTATATTTTGTTTTTTGAATTTTATTAATTTTCATTTATTTAATCTTATTGTTTAACATAATCAACACTTTTATTGATACATCATATTCATTTGGTTAAAATGACATTATTCTTTTCAATAAATATAATTAAATAAATAACTTAGAATTATCTTTAACAAATACATAATGTTTAATTATATTATATTACACACGTTTCAGTTATAAATAAATTATTTGTCATTTAAAAATCACTCTTTACCGAGAAAAAATTAATTTATTAATAGTCATTATTTTTTACTCTATTATTATTATTAAATACAAAGTGTCAATCCTATTGTCAAGTGTAAACAACTATATTAACGTTGTATAAAATGTCAAAATGATTTGTCTACATTTCCTATGTAATAATTTTATATTTTATTCTGTCTTATCAATAACATTGTAAGAATGAGTATACATAATATAAGAATTGCAAAAAATAAAAAATAATTCTACTTTCAATTTTCTATTAGGGTCATTTTCCCACGTTGTTGGTCATTAAATCTTATACCATTGAAGAGTCCACAAAATTTGCTATTAAAAAAACTTAATTTCTAGGTGTACAAGTGATGGGAATGGACCCCCTCATGAAGTTTTATACACAGGTATATTGATATATCGTAAATCGTTCTATATGCTCACAATAAATTAATTTTTTAAGTCACTTGCCCACGTTGTTGGTCACTAAATCGTATACCATTTAAAAGATGAAATTTTTTAAAAATTCATTGTGTTTATAAACGTTGAAGTCTGACAAAATGCAATATAAAGCCTAGAGTAATTCTATCAATTACTTTTAATTCAAAATTATTAAATAGAAAACCCCTTGATAATAGCGTGTGCTGCAACCTAATGTTCATAATATACCAATATGGTTACTAGATTCTTATCAATGGTTACTTATCAGTGAATTTCGGGTGCTAAATTCACGGACATAAAAAATGAAAAATAAAAAAAATTCAAAAATTTATTAAATAATCATTAAAACTACACTTTTTATAAATAATGTAACAATTTATACTTACTGTAAGTAATTACACAACAAATTGATATTTAACTATTTATATGCAGTTAAACATTGTAAAATTTTACTATGCAGTTAAAGTTTTTCTCAAGTTAGATTTATCAACGAGTTAAATCTTGGTTTATAAACTACTACAGTGTAGCAGATAATACAATAAAGATGTATTACAACATAGTTGAAGTTTATAATAATAATAAAAAAATTATAAATGAAATTTGAAACCGAAATTAACTAAAAAAAGTTCATTAAAATACTTGACTTAATAGGGACAGTGTCCCTTAATATAGAATATATACAACGCAATGTATTTACATATGGCGTCACGTTAAATTTGTTGTTGGTTGCATATTTTGCCTCTAAGCATATCATTCGCACTAATTTGATCGAGCATACTTCTTATTCATTTTACTATGGCTACATCTACACTGTGCTTAGTTTTTTGTATTCATTGATACTATCAAATAAAAATGCGCAGTTATACAGTTTGGACTTATATAGAGGAGAACAAAGCATGTTGACGTTTGGAACATGATTTAAAAAATGTATTAATGTTAGTGAAATGTTTATGAAAATATTTTTAAATTTATTAACAAAATAATGAAAAATGATTTTAAAATATCATATGAATATATGTATATTTTAAAACGCACATATACCATTTTTGGAAGAATGGTATAATCCATTTTTATTTTACAATATATGGTTTTAATTTAAGTCTAAATATATAAACAAACATATTTTTTTTATTGCAATAACTAAAGAAAAACATCACGATTAATAAAAAGTAATTTAAATTTGAAGTCTTATTCAAATTAGAGAAATACAAGGGAAGATATTTGAATAAAATTGAAATGAGTAGAATTGATTTTGTACTTATTGAATAATCGATTTATTATAAACTACTGTATTAATCGCAAAATATAGTATCAAAAAAAATATATATTTTTGCTTCGATGCGAAGCAGAGAAGGTATTAGTTTTACTAAGATGTGTTTATTTTTTTATTTATTTTTTTTTGTGTCTGTTACTACTTTATCTCAGCTCTCCCCGAACCGATTTCTTTCAATTATACATCAAAAGATTACAAATCGTATCTAGTCGAAGACATTACCCTCAAAAATTGAAAAAAAAGTCACCTCCAAAAAAATTACAAATTTAAAAATCACTAATTTTCGAAATTTTTTCAATTTTTAGCTTCGATGTGAAGCGGAGAAGATATTAATTTTACTATNACTGGTTTGAAACATGTGTTGATAAATAGTTATTTTCATAACCTAAAAGGGAAACATTCCTTAGATCATTTTTTTGCTTTATTCATATATATTTGATATTTAGTACATGTGTTAATAATTATACAAGATGCGCCCAAATCCTTTTATGCACATGCCCTCACGTGTACATTATATGAGCATACTTAAACTAATTAAAATAAATGTTTTAGTTTTTTAGTTATTATCGAGGTGGACATAAAGCCCATGCACTCAGACCTGTTGGTCCATTGTGCGTACCTCATACCGAATTGTCTTGATTCGGTTTACCCACCTTAGTGTTATCACCAAAGGGTAAAATACATTACCAACCATAAAGTCACCTCTAAAGATGACCAAACAGTCCTGTCTTTCTGGCGAAATTAAGTATCTCTCTGGGTTTTAGGTTTTTAATATCTTCTTTTTCAGGAAAAGGTTTATTCAAGTAGTTTGATCTTAGTGTGGTCAAGGGTCACATTCGCACATGATGTGAAATAAGTCAAATAAGTTCAATACCGTCTGGGGCATTTAATATTTTGCATTTTTTTTGAGATGAATAAAATTTTTAAATCATTTGATATTTATCTCATTTAGATTCAATAACTTCAATAAATATAAAGGATCCTATCACTATAGTCTTCCCTCGTGAGAAGAAATTTATATTCATGTTATTATTATTTTACTATTTTTTAGCTTCGATGCGAAGCGGAGAAGATATTAATTTTACTATGATGTGGTTTTTTTTTTTTTTTTTTTTATGTCTGTTGCCACTTTTTCTCAGCTCTCACTGGACCGATTTCTTTCAACAATACTTCAAAAGATCACAAATCGTATCTAGTTGAAGACATTACATTTAAAAATTGAAAAAAATTCCCTCGTTCCCCGCAAATGGGGGAAATATCCAAAAAAATTACAAATTTAAAAATCGCTAATTTTCGAAATTTTTTCACTTTTTTTTCTTAAAACTTCCATAACTTTTTGAAAAATCAACAAATCAACATAATTTTTTTTTATACTAAAACCTTAGATATTTACCTTTCATTTGATATCATTTTTTTGAAAATCTATATTAAGGGAGATTTAAAATAGCAACTTTTTTACAAAAACTAAGATTTTCTACTTAATTTTTGAAAATGTTCCGGAAATACTGCGTCCTTTAAACATATATCAAATTAAAGCTTATTTCATGTACTATAAAATAAAAAAAAAAATTTGTCCCGACGACATTATCTTCTATGTGCAAATGGCTGTCGAAAATTTAAAAAAAAATGTAATGTTTGCGATAAAAATTACATTTTATCGGGATGTTTTTTGTACTTAAAACTGCCATAACTTTTTCAAAAATGAACAAATAAAAATAATATTTTTTTGTATTGAAACCTTAGATATTTCCCTTTCATTTGATATAATTTTTTTTGAAAATCTAACACTTATTCTGCTCACTGGGAGGATTTAAAATAGTAACTTTTTTACAAAAAATAACTTTTTCAACTTAATTTTTGAAAATGTTCCGGAAATACTGCGTCCTTTAAACATATATCAAATTAAAGCTTATTTTATGTGCTATAAAATGAAAAAAAAAAATTTGTCCCGACACTTTTTCTTCTACATTGAAACGGCTGCCATACNATTTAAAATAGTAACTTTTTTACAAAAAATAACTTTTTCAACCTTATTTTTGAAAATATTCCGGAAATACTGAGTCCTTTAAACATATATCAAATTAAAGCTTATTTTATGTACTATAAAATAAAATAAAAAAATTTGTCCCGACAACCTATCTTCTATGCGCAAAAGGCTACCGTATTCAAAAATATGCTATTTTAACAAATTTTTTTTTATAAATTAAACACTATCTACAGATTTGCATCGAAGCGTTTTTAGGATAGTGATTTTAATCACTGTCAGATATCATCTATACTGGACCCAACTATGCCACGACCCCACTGTGCCGCTACCCCACTG